AGTCATTGATGCAGCTTTCTTCTATGGCAGAGCACAGGTAATAATACCAGGGGAAGTCATTTTCCTGTTTTCTGCCATGAAATTACAGATAATGAAATAAAACCTGTATACAATTTGGTTGTTTTCTTTCAGATAATCTGCACCACATTCGTAGTTGCCTTCAGCATATTCCTGGGAGGAGGCTCTCTTGTGTGTCTCAGCAGAGGAAGCTGGGCCCAAAATGTCCAAACTGAAGAGGTGAACTCATTTGACTCTCCAGAAGATCCTTTGATTGAAAATGAACCTGAAAACCAGACCGTGTTTGAGACTGACCCTCCACCAAGAGATCAAGGTGCGTTCTGGTTTGCCAGATGTCTGAAGCGAGATGTTATAATTTAAATCTCCTGATCAAGACTTGAGCATGCACATAGAGATGTCAGTTGTTTACAGCCAAGTTGGACTGGAAATCCAAAGTTCAAATTAACCCTTATCTACTAGTTTTCTACAGTATACTGCCGCACAGTGCAACCCCTTCCTCTCAGATAAGGTTTCAGTTAATCACGTAGACAAAGTCTCTGCAGTTACCAAAAAGCAAAGTACACACACAAAAAAAATCTTTTTTCCCCAAGGACATACTGAAGACACAATTCTCCACAGCAAGGAAGCTGGTTAATGCTGAGAAAGGAGTGTCAGAAAGGAACAAGTTAGATGCAGTGCTTTTGTTTTGCTACATGCCACTGATTCATGGTCATAGTTCCAGTAAGCAAGACACATTATTGCAAACTTGCAAACCAGTTCTGCAAGTAGTGAAGAGAAACTGTTTGAATGATTCAATACAAGAGTTTATTATCTTGTGTTGTAAGTACTTGTGTTGTATCAGCAAAAATATTTGTCACTAGTATTTTTGGGGGGACTGTATTTTCATATGCATTATTCATAGTCAGTGAAAATACTTTACTTACTTTCCTGGAACTTGTATTTTATTGAATATCTGCATCCTGTGTAAAATGAGATAAGCTGAGAATTGCTTCCAAATATTTCTTTTTACTTTATCAGCATGCCTCGTATGTGACTGTGCACCAACCCAGCCCCTGCCTGACATGATCATCAGTGCAGATATGAGCAGCACACCAACCACACAAGCAGGTACTGCACTGATAAGAAACTGACATTAGTGTTTTTATTGTGAGACTTCAAAAAGCAGTAGGATTTAGTTCATTTTATAGTATATGAGCATCAAACTGAATATTCTTGTAATTTATCAGGTTTAATTATTTCCTTATTTGTTTCGCTGCCCCCCTCAGGTCAGTGTGAGAGCAGGTGCGAGTCCACAGACTGCCTCCTTGTCCAAGTGGAGGAGCTCCAACAGGTTGCAGACAGACAAGTGGCCCGTCATGTGCTCATGTGTCTGCTTCTGACTGTCAGCCTGCTTGCTGTGAGTAAACAACCACCTTTCAGTTCTACAGTGACATGAAGTCAGCCTTCATCCGCCTGCATTATTATATTTAGTGCATCTTGAACCAAATCAGATACAAATGGCTGAGCTGTGTAATTTCCAACTCCTGTCACTGGAAGACTTTAAGAAACACATTCAGAGACCCCATTAGAAAAGTC